AGTTTGTAGGATTTAACTAATACTCTCTGTTAGAAAACATTTTTTTCCTCCTAAAACCTCTTTTGGATGAGAAATATTAAAGGAAATTAACATCAATCTAGTCAGAAGATCAGATTTCTCTAAATCAAATTGGAATAAAAACCTTACCTGATTGAGGAAAATGGATGTCATTTTTGGATTCAGCGGTGCAAGATAGTCCTAATCCAGCCGAAAAAACATAAGACAACTTCCAAAAACTATTTTATTGTAACCTGCTGTAATTGGTTCCCTGTGTGAGGCTGGAACTCACATCCTTCAGACTGTAAGTCTGATGTGTTTACTGATGCGGCCCACGCATTTTGTAACTTTAATGTGACGCATGTATTCATTTACCTGAGTTTTTTTGTGTGTGTTTCAGTAAGGAGAGCCGGATGAACGGGCAGTACCAGCAGACCGTGGAGGCATTCAACAATGACAATAAGTAAGCTTTACACCAATGGACACAAACTTGGTTTCTGTAGTAAAAATAAGCAATTTGTCACTTTTTTTTGACATTTTGTAGAAAAGTCTGCCTAAAACAATCAGACGGCTCCTGCTGATTTAGAATGTTGCTTCTGCTACGTTAAAGATCTGTAGTTTTTGTACCAACCTCTCAAATCTACTCTGCATCTCCAGAATCAGAACCAAACGGCAGCTTTCAGTTTTCATGCTCCTCTAACCTGGGGCAAACTTCCAGAAAACTTTCCAGAATTCTTTAAACGAAGCCTAAACCCTCCTTTGTTTAGAGCTGCTTTTGATTAAAAATAACTGAAACGTAGATCAATTCTAGCCCGTCTCTCCATTTTATTAAACTTTCTGATTTTGTGAGAGCTGATGTTTGTCGCAGCTCGACCGCATTGCGCTCTGCAGTGGGTCAAATTTCTGTTTGTTGTCTTGACCACTTAGAAGCAAAGTTAAAATTCGGTTTTATTGCCAGAAAAGTGATTATTTAAACGATTTGGCCACATTTCTTATAATCACAAGAATGATTACAGCCATTGGACATGTGGACATGGTCATCACATTACGTCTTCACCAATATCACGCACCGACATCCTTTCAAAACTACCCTTTTCTCTTCCCTTTCCTCGTTCCAGGTACAGTTTATTTGCCGTGGTGAACCACCAGGGGACACTAGAGAGCGGCCATTACACCACCTTCATCCGGCAGCACAAAGACCAGTGGTTCAAGTGTGACGACGCCATCATCACCAAGGCCAGCATCAAAGATGTGCTTGACAGTGAAGGGTAAGCGGTCCTCATCCAGGCTCCACCGTTAACATCAGGCTTGGTTCTGACCCTGCGATCCTCTCCTCCTCAGGTACCTCTTGTTTTATCACAAACAGTTCCTGGAGTACGAATAACCTCCAGGAGGAACCCAATCAGGAAGAGGTGATGAGCATGTAAGGGAAGAGGCATGGAGAGGGAGAACGCCAGACTGGCTGTAAACACAGAGCCCCCGTTCCTCCGCGCAGCAGCAAGACCCTGCGCAGGGACGAAACCGAATAAAAACGACTCGTGCAAAACCGCTAGAAATACAGACATTTGTGTTCTTTCTGAAATTATCACTTGAATTCAGGACATGAAGAGGGGAAAAGAAGCTGTGAAAGTCTGCTCTTGCTTTTCAGATCATGGACAGTTAGTGTCTTATCCCAACATTTTTGCTGTTGATTACGAAGTAAAACATCGGGAAGTTTTAGATTATTTTTTTTATAATTTTTTTTTTTATTATTTCAATTTTTTTTTTTTTTCAAACCCCACTTCCGTCTTCATGCTTGCACAGCCGCATTCATCGCCAGGCAACATTTCCGGACACGGGCGCACACTTCGTCTGACACCCAAACACTCCTCTGCAAGACCAAATATTTTCAGCATGGAAGTTGTCTTATTATGCAGTTTCTGTCCAGAGTTGGGGAATAATGGAAGACTATCATCTGACAGTATTCTAACGTTATTCCAATTATTATTTGTCAGATTGTTGTAGTCAAAGTGGTACTATTATTATTATTATTATTAAAAAAAGGCTTCCATAGTTAGAGGGGAAATGAATGACCCAGTAAATATATTTTTATACATCTTGCATTCGAATGGTTTGTTTACGGTTTTGCATTCTCTTTGAAAAAAAGAAAAACAAAATGCATTATGCGTCTGTTGAATTGTGTTGTCGATCATGTTTTTGTACACAAAAGACAAAAAGATGCTATAATGATTTTTGTGAAGCTGCTGCTATTGCCGTTTTTTTTTTTTTGTTTATTTGTTTTCTTTACCTTTATCTAGTGCTAAACAGCTATTGGCATCTCTGGGTTTGTGTAAAAACAGATAAATTTCTCTTTTATTGCATTACAATAATCTCACCCCAACAAAATTAAGAACAGTCCAAATTTTTGTGAAATCTTTGTCACAGTTTGAATATGTTGTACCTTCGTCTGCCTGTAGGACAGCTCTTTCAGAAAGGGCGATCTTTGACTATTCCTCATTGCATATTATTACTCCATTTTCTCGACTCGACTACTCACTGCTTCATTTAGGGCTAGCGACTGAGGGAAAGTTGATTCTTTTCTGGTAATCCAGTTCTCTGTTGATTCTGACATGTTTTGAAACACGATCTTGACCCAGATGGTTTGTTTCCAAAATCCGTACAAAAGGCCCCTCTCAGAGCTGATCCCAAATCGCCGACCATTCTGAGTATCCTACGCATTTGAGTTTTCAAAAGTCAATACTGCAGCAGTTAAAAAGTTTCGCACCATTTTGTTCTTTTGACTTTGAAGTGTTCCAGCAGTCAAGGGGGGAAAAAAAAACTACCCCTGGCTGAAGTCCAGTGACTTTATTTCATTTTTTTTTTTCTTCCCTCTGTCTTGGCACGCTTCAGCTCAACCTGTCCGATTGTATGTTAATGCCAGGAAATGAATGTGCAGGATGCTCCCCTTCAGCCCTGGTGTGTTTTCATCTTTAGCTGCTACAGTATTTTACTATTTGAAGCAGTAATTGGTGGTTCCTCTGTCTGGGTTACTCCACTTTAGGAGGAGCTTTAACACAAATTCATTCTTTTTTTTTCCATCACCAGTTGCAGTAGGTTTGACAACTGGTTGGCATATAGATGGTGTCTAATGGTTGCTATGGACACTTTTCTCCTTTACCTTCCTGTTTGGCGGCTAAACCAGTGTCCTTGTACGTCGTGTGGCCAGAATAAAAGAAAGTTGACCTTCCTGTGTTCCACATTAACAGCCCGCGGAAACAGGAAGTCATTAAGTACTTTAATTGAATTTAAAAAAAAAGTAAAGCATAGATGAAAAATTCCTTCAGGATACGAATAGTTCTTTTTTTTTTTTTTTTTTTTTTTTTACATGTACAGTTTCTGTGAGGTTATTTACTGCAGTAAAATATGAATTTATGAAAATTTCGACACAGAATGCCAATAACTTTTGTTTGTTGGTTTTCTGTGACTTTTTTTTTTCCTCCTTGCGTTGACGGCATGTTGTCATGTTGCTGTTTCAGGTAAATGGCCTAAAAAAGAAACGAATGGAAGAAAAAGAAGGTCGAGTTTGTGTAAAGGGTCAAAAGCCGCAGCGTTAACAGTCAGCCGCACGCTTGTCCAACTGAGCCGTCCGTTTACGCGCCTCTGCGAAAGCGGAAGAAACTCAAAAGCTTAGAGTAGATGTTTGTATAAATGTGTTCTGTGTAAAGAGAAAAAAAAAAGACAAAGTGTGAGATCTCGTTTGTATGCACGTGTGTCGTGCGTATGCACTGTACGTTTGTGTACTGAATCAGTACTTGCATTCAGCATGCTGTCTAAGCTGGTATCACAGTTTGATATGTTTTCAAAATTTTCTTTCTCTTCTGTTCACATGATGATGATGATATGATGTGTGTAAAAGTGTATGTGTACAGTTTGTACGTACGAGATGACAGGTGAAAACTCAAAAGCCGACGGAAGTCGTTCCGCTAACACTGCTGCATCCAGCCGGAGGGTCGCCGAGAATGGGGAGCCTGTCCTGACTGAGCTCGGCAGCCGTTTCTCACACACACACACACACACACAGTTGTTACTGCTGCAAAAACTGGACACAGGACACAGGAAACACTCAAATAAAGAAACTATCTGGGAAAAAAAACTGCTTCATTTTTAAACATTTTATTTCTTTATTTTTCGTTGTACAAATCAAACATTCAGCATGTGCACCTTCACAGTGATAAATATGACATCACTGGGGTGGATGCTCACGCTGCCCCCCACCTAGGATGCCACCCTGGGTGGTTGCCCCATGTCACCCATATCAGAAACGCCACAGATGCCAAACCCACTGGAATGATTGATGCATGGAATCGTGTCAGTTGGAAATCAATTATTGAAATAAGCTTAATTAGTAAGCTGGAATATTTATATATAAATATAGCCATTTGCTGAAAAACCAGCAGTAATTAAGCCTAAATTATACAAAAATATACATTTTGCATTTAAGATATAAAAAAACCTTTTTAAATCTGTTGTACCCAGAACTCCTCAAGTGGCCTGATTTTAGCTTCACCTGGTTCAAAATCTGTTTATAAATCCCCCGAAACGGGAAACTATGAAGGATTTTTTGCTACTCAATTATTAATCTGTTACTCCAAAAATGATCAACAGATCAGCCCTAAACTGTACTGTTAGGTCAAGCAGGTAGAGCTCAACTTGTTCACAGTTGTCTCTTATTTGGACTGATTGCAAAGCTTGTCTCTGATTGGCTTAGATACTCTTTAATATTTATATTGACAGGTGCATCACGCCAGTACACACTGTGCGTTCCTTGAGTAAAAACAAACAAACAAAAAACAATAAAAAATATGATAATTATTGTACTTTTTCTTATTATTTTCTCCATTCGCTATTAACAAAATTGTGGGTGGGTGGGAAATAAAAGTGGTCTTTGGTGTACGTAGCGTACATCTGTGTGCGTCGGCGTGGGCACGTACATTCTAAACCTGAATGTCATTGGTCAGTTTACTTTTGTTTATTTGTCGGCTTGGCGCTCCTTCTGTGAGCTAAATGTGACTGTGCCGCGTGAAGCTAGCTAAAACTGAATGGATAACCGCAGGTCTGAGAGGGGTTGCACTGACCCCAACTAAGCTTTTTATCCTGTATGTGCGCGCGCAATCCGTGCGCGAGTTTCCCATTTTTTTCTTATTTTTATTTCTTGTGTTTTTCGGGAACTGAACCGCTGACGGGACACCTCATCGATTCTCCATCTTCCGCCCTCTTCCTCGGCGTCACGCTAGACTGAGAGAGTTGAACAGTTAAATCTGGTCAAAACATTTGTCACAAAGTGTAGAAATGAAGCAAATGTTCTAGCTTCACATCATCCTCTGGAAGTCTCAGGTCAACCACCTGAGCCTGGGAATCAGCGTCCTTCCCCTCACACGGGTAGGCTTTGCTTTCCTTTCTTTACTACTTAGCTTGCGGGCATATAGTTTGTGTGTGTGTCACATTGTGGCATACATGAATTTAGACTTGTTAAAGTGGTTGAAATCATGATCTGTTGTTAATAACAGGCCCAACACTTTCACACCTCAAAGCAGAGGATGGATGTGAGAGATTTTTATTTTATAGCGTCAGACAGGATCAAAGCCAAGTCGACATGCATTTAAAAACATTTCTTTTGGAACTGCTGAGCCAGAAACTGAAAACTAAAACACCCATTTGAATGCTGAAATTGGATTGAACAATTAAAAGCCCAAAATTTTTATTAGGTTTGTTTACACTTTTATATCCTCTACAATATTCTTTCCTTGTGTTCCCACTTCAGAAAGGTTGATACCCTCATACTGAAACCTTGTGATTTTATGTTTAAGAATAAAAACCAGTCAAGAGTTTGCATATCAGGTCGATTTATCACTCAACCACTGATCAGCGTCTGTGGTGACTCAGAATTCTCAACATTGTACCGGTTTTTCCCCAGACGGCTTTAAAAGCTGCAGGTATTCAGCTCTGAGACTATCTCTACCCAATCATTTTAGAAATGACTGCAGGAACCTTTGACCTTTACACTTGTTCTTAGTAGTCAAGTATTTCTGCTCATTTTACCACTCATTGGGATTTTCTTTATTTGTCATGTTTCGTTGTTTTGGGCAGACAAGCAAATGCCTATGAAAACGTAGCAAAGCACTTTACATAGAGTTGAACCTTTGAAAAAAAAAAAAAGGATGATATCAAGCAAATCTTTACAGAAGCAATATTCTCAGTTTGTCACGTTAAAACAATAACTTTAGCATGATTTATTGGGATTTTGAGGAAAAATGCTGCCAAACGTTCGGTACAGTCGACCTCTGCTATTAGCAGAGTGCTGTGAATACTTAAAATCTGTGAACAGTTCAGACTCCCCATCTAAAACATTTATAATTGCTTATTTTAATGGTCTAAAATGGAATATACCTTCATGTATATTAATATATCTTAGCATCATCCCAGATGCTAGCATCTACTGTCTTCCTTACTTTTACTTTTTGGGGGGCTTCCAATCAGTGGCAAGTAAAATGAATGCTGCTCCTGGATTGGCTACTTTGCACGTCAAGTAGCATCGTGTAAAAGTATTTCAACTTTCTAAAATCTTTTTTTCTTTTGAATATTTAAGATATGCTCTAGGAAAAAACGTCAGCAAATCTTTCACAAATTTGGAGTTACGTCCTAAAAAAGGTGACTCTGTGAATACTAAATGTCAAAATGGGCGGGAGTCTACTTTACTGCATTTAGGCAAATATTACCCTCACTTCACTAATTACTCGTTTTTGTTGGTTTGCCACAAAAACGAGTAAAAATCCACAAAAATCCACTAAGTCTGTGTTTGTAGCGTGACAAAATGTGATATTTTATGTCCTTACAAGCCAGCATAACCAGAGTTGCCTTGTTGCTCCTTGACTGTATTTTAAGTGCTGTCATGGAGAAACTATACAGAAAAATGTCAGAACAGATGTAACGTTGAGAAGCATGAGGTAAAAGTATCCCTTAAAGTTAGTTTCATGTGTCTGCTACAGACCTAGTTAGATCTTAGTTTGAACAAAGTATCATGGTTACTTCTTAGGCCTAAAATACTGCAGGTCACCACAAAGTTCTGCGTTTTACCACTGAGCACTCCCTTATCAGTCAACTGTGCATTAACTAGCAACCTCCGATATCCCAAGTAGAAATCCTCCAGCTCTAGTTTTGCAGACGGACCTCATCCCACCGCTGCCTCCTGCTGGGCACTCAGGCTTCCCCCTGTCCACATGGAACCCCCGTTTTGGATGTGGGTTCTATGAAGGATGCCCTGCTGGTAGAATGAATAGGATGGTCTCTGCTGTCTGTTGCTGTCCTGGCTGAGCCCCCTCAGGTCAGGGAAACAGTGGACGCAGACGCAGGTCTCCGTTGGGTAGGAATCCTCTGATGACTCGCGGTAAAGGGGATAGGTTGAACTGGACGGACAATCTAGAAATGACAGAAATAACATTCCAGGAAAAGTAACCTCATCAATCAGGTCTGTTGAGTTTTTACCACACCAACCGTTGAGGCTTCTTCCAGTCTGACTTTCTGGAAAGCCAGACTCCTGTCCTGGCTGAACTGCACTTGTCTGCTTCTGGTTTTTGGTACTTGTGGGTTTGGTGTTTGAGTTTTTGGCCTTTCCTCTCCTCAGAAACACAACCAAAGCGAGACACAGGCTGGAAAGCAGCAGTATTGCGCATAAACCTAGGAGGGCGTACGATTGGATGACAGGGTCCAAAGGTCCTAGAGGTGGCTTGGTGTTCACGGCCTGTTTGCTAACTTCAGTAGGGAGTCTTATGGTCACCGTCAGAGCTGACTGAGCTGAAGGAGGAAACAAAAAGAATATCTTACTGAATTCACTTCACTTCCTCTGTTGCCATTGCCAAATCTACAATCCATTGTAGTCAGACAACAATTTTAAAGAACACAAAAATCGAGGTCATTGTTGAAAACTCTTCCTCCCGTTTGCTAATTGGCCCATTTGAAATTCAACTGGAAAAATCAAGCTCAGTGGGAGAAATTCACAGATGGAACTCTGAAGGGAGATGGGAATCGAGTGAAATTGCATAGATAGACAATGGCCAAGCTAGGACTTCTTAGTTTTTTCTGCCTGGAATTCTTGACTGTAAATCTGGCATTTAAATCCCTAGCAGAGTGGTACTTACTCGGGCAGTGTGGGGAGCACTCTGCTGGATGTTTACCACAAATGTCTGCACACTTCATACATCTCCTCACCAGCCTGTCGTAGTAGTGGCCGGGCTTAGCCCTGCAGAGTGCAGCCTCTTAAGGAAAGAAAAGTGAAAGGAGTTAGAAAAACAAGACTTTGGACACTTAACGCATTTCATTTTTGTAATATCAGCAAGTGCGAACTTCAGTGTGTTTTTTTTTGTGGGATCTTACTCTTGTGACCATAAGTTTACATACACAGGATAAAAAGTTACTTTTTTTTCCTCACTGTCTAGACTCTAGACCAAACTTCTCTTGGTTTATGTCGGTCAGAATTACCAAAATTATTATTTGGTAAATGTCACAATAATGATTGAAAGAACATGTCAGAGACTTATTTAGTGACTTTAAGATTAGAAGTTTACATACATTCCCTCAGTACGTGTTAGCAACATCTTTAAACTGACTGACTTGGCTTAAAGCCTTTTGGGGTTCTTTCCACAATTCTCTTGCAATAGTTTGCTGGACTTCTGGCCCATTCCTCCTTACAGAACTGGCATAACTCAGTCAGGTTTGTTGGCTGCCTTTTCAGGTCTGTCCTCAAATTCTCCATAGGACTGACTTCTTTGTGATGTCCACACCAAAACTTAGACTTTATTTTCCTTAAGCCAATCACATTGGCTGAATTGTTACAGGGTCATTGTCCTTTTGGAAAACCATCTGTGCCGAAGCTATTATTTATTGGCAGACAGCTTTAGACGTTTCTTCAATATTTCTACATGATGCTGTTTACTCATTAGGGATAGTGACACCATCTTCAAGCGTCTTTCAATTGTTCGCAGACTTGTGTAGCTCCACAATTCTCTTCCTTGCCTGAATCCTCTTGACTTTTCCATCGTGTCAAACAAGAAAGAAGTGTCTATCAGGTGTGTGCTTAAAATACTCCAACAGGTGTACCTCCATGACATCATAGACCGGGCTTTCCCTCAGTGCTTAAAGAGACGGCAATCAAATTGACATGTAACAAAATAATTTTGGTCTGATCTAATTTTGGGCAGTGAGAAAAAATGTGTACATCTTGTTACTCAATGTATGTAAACTTCTGGATTCAACTGTATGGGACAGAATGACACATCATAAAGAATAACTGAAGTGGAAGACAAAATAATGTGTTTTCAAAATGTCTTTTTCCAAAAAAGATCTGAAAATGATGGAATACTTTACTCACCACAGTAGACGGCACAACTGGGGGATGTAGGCAGTTTCCGACATAATATGCGACAGGGGACACATGATCTGGTCAAGGAATCTGGATGCTCACCCTCTTTGCATCCCTTACCCATCGCCCCCCAGAGGCCCTCACTCTGAAAAGGACACACACCCACAGAGCACACTTTTAAGTAGTCAAAATGTGGGCCGGTGTATGGTCTTTAATAACTGATTAAACCTCTGATATGTCACAGAATTAGATTTTTTTTTTTTTTTTTTTTTTGTAATTTTCGGGGTGATCTGTTGTTTTAGGTTTCAATAAAATCTATTAAGTCATCTTTCTTTGGAGCAAACTTGATTTATCACTCTCTTATATAATCCCATTAAGAGTTTGTGGTTTTAACATGGCAAAATGTCAAAAACTTCCACATATCCAGCTGCTGTTATTCAAGAAGCTTGTTAATAATTTAAGAAAACTACTTTCTACTGTTGCTGAGATCTTTGATTCTGATATAAGCATTGTACAGAAGTAAGAAGAAACACTTGGTTGACGATATATCTTAAGTGAAACTCAGTCTAGCTTTAGGGCAGGTCATAGTGCCATAATCATAATTATGTTGGCAACAAATGATGTTACGAAGGCCTTGCATATGAGGCTGCCTTGTGATCCCATGTTTGTGAAAGTCTTCAAGTTACTTTCTGTTTATCCGTATCTTCTGCTCTAAGACGTCAGGTTGAGTCATTGAGCTTTAGGCTAGTAGAAAAATGTACAGAATACACTGTTACTCAAGATGGATATAAGTTTAGTTTGAAATTGATTCTACCAAAGCTCAAAATTAGGTCCAATTTTATAAAACATTTTTAAATTAATATTGGGAAGAATATATCTACAGCCAAAGTGAAGCTTTATGCAGATAACACCATGATTTTTTTTCCCAGCTGGCTCTATTCTGTCGCAGGTAGTTAATAAACATCAAATTGCATTATGAATGCTTATAGGTTTTTGACATAAAGTTGGTTCTAAATTTGTAGAGGTAAATCAAAACACTTAAGTAATGTAGTTTTATTTGGAAATTGTCTTCTACTTTCCCAAAAATCTCATCTGGATATTAAGTTTTCTTTCAGAGTGAAACTTAAGCATTTAGTTTAAAATAGGGGCTGGGGTCAGACTGGGCTTTAAAATTCAAAATAGGGCTTGTCTTAATTTGTCATTCAGAAAAAAAAGTTAATTCAGGCTATACTTTTGAACTTTATTGATTCCCATATTTTTTTCTATGAATTCCAAAGCACTTTGCTGTTTAGGTCTTAAAAAAACAAAAACATGGCCCTTTATATTTCATAAGAGATTTATTCTACAAAACACATCAGTGGGTAAGCTGATTACTTGGCCCTTGTTAAGCCTGAAGAGACACTGGCACATTTTTTATGAAGCTTTACTGGATAAATTCTTGTATTGTCTGAGAATATTTTTAGTTTCTTTAAATGTGTAAAATGTATTTAATCAGCTATCATTGAAGTAGCCTCCTTTTTAGAATTTTGGCAGCACAGTATTTCCTTATTTTTGTAATGTTAAGGAAGAAATTCTAAAATAGGTTAACTTTGGAAAAAAGTTGGCTCTCTCTCTTCCTCTGGATCCCAGGTCCTCTCGGCGGGCCACGTGTGGCCACAAGGAAAACAACAATGTGTGTTGACATCAGAGAATTACAGAGTTTAATCCAATATAAGACAATGCATAAACTTACACCAGAAACTGCAGAACAACGGAGACATACATTCATTTACCTGACATAAATGGAAAAGAAAGAAAGAAAAGCAAAGACGTGCAAAGACATCTTTGGAGAATTGCAAGGGCAAATCTGATTTGTTACTTCTGTGTAGAAAGTTTTATCCTCTTGTATTTAATTTATTCAAATAAGGCGCATCTTTGCTCATCCAACCAGGAGCTACCTCTGACCCTCTCTCAAGCCAGAAACCCCTGCCGTGTTTACGGCTTTTCACAGATGAGTGTGAAAAGCTACAACTTCCACTGTATTGTTTTCCCACAGACAAAAGGCAGTTCAAATGATCCTAGCAAACCATCTGCTGTAACTACAGGTAAAATAAAGGTCAAAAAGCCAGAATACGTTACTGATTTTAAAACCACAATTAGGCCATTTGAATCAAGACATGTTAAGTTTTAAAAACTAGCTTATTTTAAATTTATTTTCTCAACAGTAACGACTATTGAATGATCTTCAGAGTACACCAAAGCTTCACGTTTTGGTCCTTCGGGAAAGCTTCTACAGTTGAATAGTGCAAACACTTGAGCCAAATATCACTCATGCCAGTTAAATATTATATTATTTGTGTATATTATTCGTACTTAGAGTTTCAGCGGAGGTTTTCTGCTGTTACAAACACCACTAATTCTTATGTTCTTTTGAGACACTTTCTGAGCAAACATGGCAAAAGTTAGAGCCATTTCCCCCTCACCATAAAAAAAAAGAAAAGAAACATAATTACCAACATCTCAGCTTGGCCTGAGCTCAAACACATTTGTCTCTTTTGAGTGTGTATCTTCTTTTTCTCTCTCTGCTCCAGCGAGCAGTGAAGCAGCGGAGTGTGAAAAGCTCACAGATCTCCTCCGCCCTCGGCTGCCTTCGCGCTCAGAGCTGCGGGCCTGATTTATTCTTGAGTACATCTATCACACCCCAGCAACCAGCAGTCTGTTGTAGTTTTTTTTTTTTTTTTTTTGATTTACCAAGCACCAAGTTCAGCCTGCGACTACTTTAAACGTGTTTATAGCCAAAAGAAAGGAAAAAAAAAAAATCACGATCGTAATTTGTATTTTTTGTTATTTGGTGGCTTTCTCAGCTGCTTTTTTTTATTTCTGGTTTGTTTCTGTGTAAATTCAACTGCAGAAAGAATTGAACTACATATGACTACTCGATGAATTATGTCAAAACTTTCTATACAAGCATTCAACTTATTCAAAAATGCCAAAAAAAAAAAAAAATGTTCCTTTTTCTGCAGGAGAGATTACTTACCTTGTGAGATGAAGGGAGAATCTGTTTTTGAAGACAACGGTGTGTGAGAGAGACGGTCCTGTTTTTCTGCATGGAAACTAATTTGGATATGATGTCGCTGTTTGGTGTGGGACTTCCCCCGCAGTGTGTTAGGAGGACCCCCACCACCACCCTTTAACACTCACACAGAGTTAAGACCCTCATAAAGTCTGTATATTGTTAGGACTTAACATGTAAACTTTGTAATTTATCTTAAATACTAAATGAAAAGTATTGAATTTGATTTGCAAGTCTAAAATTCAAAGATTTTATCAAATAATATACCGTATTTTCCGGACTATAAACTGCAGATTTCTTTT